TTAGGACTGTTAGACACTAATCACAGTCAAAAGAAGCATAGGAACATAGTTGAGATAAAAAACAGTGTTTTATGAATTGGATAAACAGTGTCCTGTTTACTGAAGCAGTGCTAAAAACATTATAAATGTCTTCCTTGCTTCAGTTTACCACACAAAATATGTACTTATTATAAACATCACAGAATGGTTTGGTTGGAAGGGACCTTTAAGATCATCTAGTTCCAACACCCTGCTTTAGGCAGGGACACCTCCCTCTAGACCAGTCTACTCAAAGCCCCATCCAGCCTGGCCTTTAGTGCTTCCAAGGAGATGACATCTGCAACCTCACTGGGCAGCCTGTTCCAGTGTCTTCAACAAGGCCAAAAGTGAATACCTTGGGAAGAATGTAAACCTTAGGTAAGCATTCCCTAATCCTCTCCCAGTCTATAACAATACACAAATAGGAAACTGCTGTAGCCAAGGGCAGTGTCTGTCTATTTGCTCACTAGAAGGTGGCCAATGATGAATTTTTTTAATGAATTTCTTGTTTAAATGGTGTAAACTTCTAGCATTCACATGTGGCAAACTTAAGTCACATTTTGTGAAGAATGGTTTGGGTTTTTTTTTGTCTATCTAGAATTAGCTGCTTTCTGTTGTCCTTTGATAGCAACCACCTGGTTTTTGTATTGGTCTACTTAGTGAAGTCTTTTTCCAAGCCACTCATAATTTTATTGGCATTTCTCATACTCCACACTTGTCTTTTCCTTCCTGGCCTGAACATCCACCAACCTGGTTAATTATCTCGTAGTTACCACTTGTTGCAGGTGGTGCTAACTGAATAGAAAGAGTGGATTTTTTTTTAATTAAGGTCCATAAGAATAAGAATAGGTAGAAATGAACAAAGTTTTGTTCAATTATTGAGATACTCTTGAAAACAGGGTGCAGCTGAATAGGGAAGAGTTCAAGATGCTGAAGCTAGAGTACAGATACAGGAATATGGAGCAGTCATACCAGTCACTGCTGTAGAAGTGTTTCTGAGGGTTGTGGTGCATGCAGTTGTTGCTGTTCATAGAGGACATGCATGTAGGATCTGCTATAGTGAATTAACACAAAATCAGCTAATCCTGCTCTGCTTGACGGTGTAGATTATTTGCTCTCTTTGCATTTTAGAGGAAAAATGTGACCTCAAATGAAAATAGTGAGTAAAAAATTAGTGATAGTTTAACTTAGAAGCTGCAGGTGGAAACTGGCAAAAATTAAAGGAACGATCTGTTTCTCATTTTTATCATGCATAAAGCAAAAAGCAAAAAAAGCTTAAATGACAGCAGAGAAGCTTCAGGTTAGCTGCTGGCAGGAATGTGAAAGGACTGGAAGAGATTGTTAGATTGGTTATGGAAACTATATCACCACATTTTTTTTAAGAATTTGGAAAAATGTCAGACATAATTAATTAGGAATAATATATGTTTTATTTACACAGTTTTTATCCACCCACACATATATATTTCCTTGAACTGAGTAAACATTGTTCCTTGGAGACGCCATTGTAATTTACAGGGTCGCAGAAGAATAAAGAGAGCAGTTTAACAAGAAAGAGGATCAAGTGGAATAATGTTCATAGTTGTCCATAGGAATAACCATTATTTGACTGTTACTTTCCCTCACCCATGGCTTGACTGGATTCTGTTTCATTGCTGTATCAAACTGCTTCCTATTCACACAGAATGGTACTGCTGATGAAGTAGGCAAATATGGAGTGTGTGAAAGCCTTTCCTGAGAGTGTTGCAGTCATTATGACTTCGAATTTTGAGCGCAGAAAGCATGCAAAGACAACCAAATGCATTCACTTTAACATATAAATAAGTGTGAACAGACTTCTTTGTTGTTGTTGTTGTGTTCATCCATGCAATAATAATTAGTATGCAGCTATGCTTGAATAATGGCGTATCATTCCAGTGAAGGTGTTCCATCTTTTGGATGTATGTATCAAAGAGAATTTGGTTAATTCACATTGACTTTTGCTGTGTTTTATAGCAGTGGCTGAAACAGACAAATGGAAAATAGACTAGATTAGGAATGGTGGTTGCAAAATTCACTGTTTAATTGTAAACAAGGAAAACCGTGCAGTCCAGAACCTATGAATGTGATTGTTATGAAAAAATGCATTGTTTCCACTAAAAATCTAAAAGACAAAGCAAACATTAGTGTAATAAAGACTGTGAATTATATGGGAATGGCTTAGTTTATACAGCTATTGGAAAAGAGTGTTTTCTTTTATAATTCTAGAATGTTATGGTGATTTTTAAGCAGGTGAGCAATTAAAAAAATTCCAAGGTTTAATTATTAGATAAGTGTAAAATAACCAGATAAGTGTAAAATAACATGCATAAGAAATTATTACTTAATGCAAATACATATGACATAAAATTACTTGCTTAAAAGTTTTGCAAAGGAATAGTGAATAAGGTGATGCTACAGTGAGGCTCTACATTGAAGTCTGTTGCTTATCCTGAATTGTATATGCAGTGAATACTCGTTCTTTCTGTATGAGGACAGGGGTTATAAATGCTAATGTATGTCTGATATCACGGCTGTCCATAGCAGGCACATCTTTACCAGAAATATTAGTACTTCTAATAATTGCTTCCCCTGTATTTTCGTTGTTTGCAGTATGCCAAAACTGGAGATAAAGTAATGGTCATATTGCACCGATGTAGGACAATACTTTGCAAAGCTAGGATATAAAATCTGAAAGCCTTCACTTCTGGGCCTGTCCACACATATTTGCTATAAACACTGATGACATTTTCAAGTTCCTACAGTTGGTATCTACCACAGAATGACCGTGTGGTTATTGCCACCATTACTGCCTATGCACTGAAGACTTGTATATGTGGATTTCAGTTCCTACAGGCCCTGCATAGGAAAAAATTGTCAAGCATCAGGCTGCTACTGGGAATACATAAAGCAACTTTCTCTCTCTCTCTTTTTTTTTTTTTTTTCCCTTTCAACCTCGTACGAAATCTCTGTGCTATACTGGGTAAGAATTATGAATTGCAGTGTATAATTCAGAATTCTTTATATTGTGTCTAAGAGACAGGAAAACAGAAATTTGTTTGTAGTACCTTATTATTATTTTAGCGTAATCTATTTGTAGAATTGTTTTATAGCCTTGGATTTTTTCTGTAGTTGCATTGAGAAACTACACAGCAAATGATCAGATTAAGGTTTTCCTTAAAAATATCTATTAGAAGCAGGAAAGATTCATTCTCATTCTAGTACTGAATTTCAATGTAGGCTAGAATAAAAAATAAAATCTCACAAAATAGAGGCTCTATTTTATTTTACTGAACAAGAGTAGTCTTTTTTATAGCAAATATAAAAAAATTAAATTAATTAATTAAAACAATTTATTAATTATAGACAAACAACAACAATTGCAACAAAAAAAGAGAATCCACAAGTGAGTGATCTGCTGAACTTTCAGTTTGAAGGGAGATAAGGAAGTAGTTCCCCACAAATTTTTCAATTGAATCAGAGTCATATTCTTTTCAAGAGTCTGGAGATGTTATTCATCCCCTACACTGTAAGCTTCCTACTCCTGCAGAACTGCAGGAATTTACCCATTCTTGAATGAATGTTCCATTTTGAATATTTTGTATGCTGCTTGGATCATTCATCTGATTTCTCGTGAGCTTGCCAACTTAATTTTAATTTTCTCATCTTGCATCCCACTGTCATATTTAAAACTAAAGCATTCTATTGGTCAGTAGCTCATGACAATGGCTGGCATGCTCTGCATATTAAGATCAACATTAATAGCAGAAAAGATTACCCATTACCTCGTGGAGTTTAAAATAAATCAAAGGAAGAGATAGACTTTTCTTTCACTTGTTTGTAAGAAGGGATCTAAAGAGAAACCGTGTGGAAGAGGCTGCAGTGCTATAGAATTAGCTGTAATTGTGCCCCATTTAGCTTCTGTCTGGTTTTGGTAGGAGAAGATTTCATTCGATTAAGTGTGAGAACCCCACAAAGATACAGCCGATTGAGTAAAAGTGTTGGTTTTGCAAGGATCAGTTTTACTTACACTCCAACAGTCAAATGGAAAAGTCCTGTGGATTTTTAGTATAATCCTATTGACTTGTTTGCTGATTGAGTCTCTGTAAAATTACGGACAGTAAATATTGAAAAAGCCACTCAGTTCTGCAGGAGTAGCCCCTTTATGGCCATTTCTCCTCTCTTGATGCAGAAACTACCTGTTTCTGCTCCTTTGCATGCCAGGAAGGATTGTTATTCTAAGCCTTTAGATTTTTGGATTTAAGAGTTCTGGTGAACTGGAACCTGGAATAAGTGGGGTTCAATCCTAGGTCTCTTGTGTTTAAAGCAATGAACCTCACGTCTGTACACCTCTGTAATAACATTAACTACATTAAAATGGCACTGTATGAAAAAATATGTTACTCTGTGATATTGGTAGGTAAGGCGACATGTTATCTGCTTAAATTGCGAAGAAAATTCATTAGTTGCAAGGAAGTACGTTGTTGTTAGGGTAAGTCTTTCTCAAAAGAAAGTATCAAACACAGAATGTCTTTCATTATGTGAATTGAATCAATGGCTTATGAGACAGTGCTTTCTTCCTAACTTTTATTAAGCTAATTATGTATCATTTTATTGTGTTTTACCATAGTAGGTTTCGTGGCAATTTCTGTTGCAGTACTAGCTGAATGCTTTTTCATTTGGTGTTGCCTTCAAAGGGATTCTGTAACTTTATTCAAGAGTAGTATTTAAAACTTATTTTTCTTCAGCTCTTTTGAATTGTCAGCCTTTTTGTTATTATATTCTTTTTTTTTTTTTTTTTTTTTTTTTTTTTTCTGTAAGGAAGTGCATTGCTTCTAAGTGGCAGGTTGTATGCCAGTACTGAACTATATTAGCAATTTACATGTAGTTAAGATCAGTTTAGTGAGACTGCTTTGTAACCAGTCAATAAAGCTCACTTGTTTCTACACTGTTTTTATTTTTAGGAATGTTGTCTCTGCAACTTGAGAGGTGGTGCATTAAAACAAACTACTGACAAGAAGTAAGTAATAAATTCTTCGAGATTGCACATTTTTGTTTAAAATTTTTTCCTAACACATTCTCATGTACTGAGCATTTGTAATCTTAATTACTTGACAGTGTGCTTTTAAGATGAATCTGTGCAGAATTAAAATTACTCCCCCTGAAATGCATCATTGGCATTTTGTGAAATAGTTAGATGCTAAAATGTGTATTTGTTTTAGTATTTGCACACGCTTACTTGTTGCAAATTCTATTCTGCTTGTTGTTGTGTAAAGAAAGCAAATGATTTGTCATTGCTTGTATGAGAAAATCTTATCAAACAGTGAAGTGTAGTTTATTCTTTAGCACTGAAAATTTGTTATTAGTAAATTTATAGAGAATCTTTGAACTTCTCCTAGAAACAATATTTTAAATTAATTAATCTGAATCACTGAATCACAGAATCATCAAGGTTGGAAAAGACCTACAAGATCATCCAGTCCAATCATCCACCTATTACCAATAGTTCTCACTAAACCATGTCCCTCAACACAATGTGCAAATGTTCCTTGAGCACCTCTAGGATCAGTGACTCCTCCACAGCCCATTCCATTGCCTGACCACTCTTTCAGAGAAGTAGTATTTCCTAAAGTCCAGCCTGAATCTCCCCTGGCGCAGCTTGAAGCCATTCCCTCTGGTCCTACCACCAGTTACAAGAGAGAAGAGGCTGATCCCCAGCTCACTACAACCTCCCTTCAGGAAGTTATAGAGAGCATTAAGGTCTTCCCTGAGCCTCCTCTTCTCCAGGCTGAACAGTCCCAGCTCCTTCAGCCTCTCCTCATATGGCCTGTGCTTCAGACCCCTCGCCAGCTTTGTTGCCCTTCTTTGAACCCACTCCAGGGCCTCAATGTCTTTCTTGCAGAGGGGGCCCAAAACTGAGCACAGTAGTTGAGGTGCTCACCAGAGCTGAGTACAGGGGGACAATCACTTCTCTGTTCCTGCTGGCAACACTGTTCCTGATGCAAGCCAGAATGCCATTGGCCTTCTTGTCCACCTGGGCACACTGCTGGCTCATGTTCAGCCGAGCATCAATCAATACCCCCAGGTTCATTTCCTCTACACAGTCTTCCAGCCACTCTGCCTCAAGCCTGTAGCATTGCCTGGGGTTATTGAGGCCAAAGTGCAGGACCCAGCATTTGGTCTTGTTGAACCTCATCCCATTGGCTTCAGCCTAGCTATCCAACCTGTCCCATCAAGTATCATGGTGGTTGAAGTCCTCCAGGAGAACTGGTGCCTGTGATTGTGAGACTACTTTCATCAATTTCCTCCTTCTAATGAGGAGGAACACACCCACAAATATGTCACCCATATTGGCCTTCCTTTTAGTTGTCACCTGTAAGCTCTCCCTTCACTCATCATTCATCTCTGGGCAGAAGTCAGTACATGTAGTTTTCTCCCACATAAAGTGCAGCTCCATGGCATCATCTTGCTTGTCTGTCTTTACAAAAAATACATACTCATCCATGAATGTGTTCCGGTCATGCGAAATGTCTCACCATGTCTCCATGATCTCAGTAAGATCATGGTCCTTGGACTGTACACAGATCTCTAATTCTTCCTGTTATTTGCAATGCTATGTCCATTGGTATAGAGTCACTTTAAAGAAGAAAAGGGAACAGGATTTATATTTCCTTGGGGGAATACAAGAAGATCATAGAATGATAGACTCTTAGAATGGCTTAGGTCAAAAAGGACCACAATTATCATCTGGTTTCAGTCCCCTGCTATGTGCAGGGTCACCAACCACCACATCAGGCTGCCCAGAGCCACATCCAGCCTGGCCTTGAATGCCTCCAGGGATAGGGCATCCACAACCTTCCTGGGCAATCTGTTCCAGTGTGTCACCACCCTCTGTGTGAAAAACTTCTTCCTAATATCTAACCTAAACCTTTCCTGCTTCAGTTCCAGACCATTCCCCGTTTTCCTATCACTGTCCATTCTTGTGAACAGTCATTCCCCCTCCTGTTTATAAGCTCCCTTCAAGAACTGGAAGGCCACAGTGAGGTCTCCCTGGAGTGTTCTCTTCTCCAGTCTAAACCCAGTTCCCTCAAACTTTCTTCATAGAAGAGGTGCTCCAGCCTTCTGATCATCTTAGTGGCCCTCCTCTTGTCCCGCTCTAAGAGCTCCATGTTCTTCCTGTAGTGAGGGCCCCAGGACTGAATGTAGTACTCCTGATGTGGCCTCACAAGAGCTGAGTAGAAGGGGACAATCACCTCCTTCTCCCTGCTGGCCACCCCTTTTTTAATGCAGCCCAGGATATATTTGGCTTTTCAGGCTGCAAGCGCACACTGATAGCTCATGTCCAGCATCTCTTCCACCAGGACCCCTAAGTCCTTTTCCACAGGGCTGCTCTTAAGGGGCTCTTCTCCCAGTTTGTATAAAATACCTGGGATTGCCCTGACCCAAGAGCAGCACCCTGCCCTGAACATCATGGGCCCACTTTTACAGCCAGTTCAGGTCCCTCTGGATGGCTTCCCTTTCCTCCAATGTATTGACCATACCATTCAGCTTGGTGTCATCTGCAAACTTGCAATGGCACTCGGTGCCATTGTCTGTGTTACTGATGAAGATGTTGAAGAGTACTGTCTTAAGAACGATCCCTTCAAGAGGTACACTGCTTGTGACTGGTCTACACACTAAAGACCTTCTGTAACTATACATACTGCTGAGGTGACTGGCCTTCTGGCTTATGCGATGGAAGGCAGCTAAGGAACATTTGTCACTGTTTTGGTTGGCCTTGTTTATTTCACGAGTTAGTTCAATGTCATGACCATTTCCATTTTGGACACCATACCCCAAGCCCTTCAGTTTTAAAGCCCACCTCAATAAGTTTGCCAGCCCACTGCTGAAGATAGCTCTGCCTTTTCTACACAGACATATCCCATCTATCCATAATGTGTTGTAATCCTCATAGAAATTCCCCTCGTCATGAAAACTGCGAGCGTTGTGTCAGCACCAGCCATATAGCTGGAATTTGGACAGGCATTATATGTCAATTTCTGACTGCCCTCTTTCCTCCAGCTGGCAAAATTGAGAAGGTAACCTGGGCACCAGTCTTTTTCACTTGCACTCCCATGGCTTTATACTATTCTTTAATTCTGACCATATTCCAGCTTCCAGTGTCATTCATGCCCACAGTATAAAGGAGAAGAAAATAATAGTCTATGCTTTAGACAATCTATTGCACACTGTTTCCAGTATCCCATATCTTGGCTCCTGAGAGGCAGTAAACCAATCAAGACTCCCTGTCACGCCAACAGAAGGGACCCTTCATGCCTTTTGAGGGAGAGTCACCGACTACAAGCACTCGGTGTTTCCTTTTATGGTGTCCTCTGTAAGCTGTTGATATGACTTCTCCTTGCAGACCTTGGTCATGGGTTTGCATGAGCTTAGTATCTGCTTTTAGTAGTGAAGTTAGAAGGTGGGGGCTGAAGGGGAGCCCTGCTTTTGTGTATCACCAGGGACTAAAGTGCCTCCTTCTCAGTATTATCCAGTCCCGGAATATGGTCCTTAAACCAGCTCTCTCTCTCAGCATCTCTAATGCTATGCAGCTTTTTAACTGCTTCTTGCAACTCAGCCACTAGTCATGAAAGATCATTCACCTGTGCACACCTTGGACAGGTACTTACCTTAACACCAGGAGAAGGTTCAAAGCATTTGGTGCAACGAGCTGCTTTAACCTAAATCTCCTTTTTGACCTGTTCTTTCTGGGTAAATATATCAGGTATCTCTGAGGATTTTCTCGCAGGGGCACTGATTTTAACCCTCAAGTGAGTGCCCACCTCCATACTCACAGAAATCAGGAGCACTTCCCTGGTTGTGAATCTGCATGCAAGGTACAGAACCCTGCCTGAGTGAACTGCAGCAACAGAGTGCTGTTCCTCGATGAGAAGAAAGTGTTCCGCATCTTCTGTTTTCTACATGTCCTACCCGCACAAACTGCCATGCCACACCATGCCCTTAATGATTTCCATGTCCTTGTCACCATGCTCCTGGTCACTCTAACTCCCTAGGGGCTGTCTCTGTGTGTGTGGAGGGTTGCACCATCACTTCTCACCCTGCCCATACTGTATCACAGCTGTTCCTCATCAGTGCTTCTCCCTTCCTGGTCAGGTAAGGCTGGGGCTCCTATGTCTCCCTGTGCTTCTCTCTTTGTGGTTTTTGCCATGGTTCTGCCTTGCTGGAAGGAGTCTCCCAGCTGCTTCCATTCTGGAGCTGATCCTATCAAAGTTATCAACATTATCCTCATCCTAAATCCAACACGCAGCACCATAACATCTACTAAGGAGAAAGTTTCCTGTATCCCATCTGAAACTGGAACAGTAAACAAAACAGATAAAATGGGGAGTGGTGCACTTTATTATTATTTTTAATCCCAATATTGGAACACTCTTCATGTATTTTGAGTCTTCATTGAACCTGTTGCATTCTTTTAGTAACTTAGCAGTATCTTGTAAACCTCTTTCTTTAACCCTTAGAACTGCAGCGTGATTGTTCAGCAGTGTGATCATTCCACTTATCAGGCCAGAATTTGTTAGCGATTTGCAACTGGTTGCATAGTATTTTTTTTTAGTGTTGTAAATAGTTGGGTGAGGAGAACGTTGCATGTGAAATTTATGGATCAGATCTTAACTTCAACAAACATTAATTCTGTTGACATATTAATGAAGATTTTGACCAACACTTGCCAATACTCAGTACTCTGAGTACAACTCTTTGTTGTAGGTCAATTAAAATATTGTAGAAATAGGTTACAAGATTTAGCCATAGGAATAAAAACCACTACAGGGATCTGCAGAAAGTGTCTTCCTCTTTGTAATTATTCCTGAAGTCTTCAGTTTTGCATTTCATCCCTCTGGGTTTCTATTACAGATTTCTGTAATGTGCTCTGTAAAAGTAGTTAACTTCTTGTTTTCCTGTTTCCATAACACTTGCTATACAGTGTCTAGTTTTCACTTTTCTCAGTATTCTATCTTCGAGCGTTATCTCCTATTTTTAACTTCTGAAAGTTTTCAGAAGTGTGTTCCAATTACTATTTTGTTTTCTCCATCAAGTATAAAATCCAACTCTGAGATATTTTCTGTGTACTGAGATTCCTTCTTCTCAGGTGAACACAGCAATTATTTCAAGTCCTATTATGTTGAGAGAAGTCAGAGTATAAAGGGCTGTGTTAAGGTTTATTGAAGAGACATTTTATTTATAGCATTTCTGTCCACATAAAGCTTAGATGGTAAGACACCTGTTATTAAGAGTGCAATTTTGCAGGCAGGCATCAATGAAAGAAAAATGTTATTAAAAGAAAAAAAAAGTGTGTATGCCCTTTTAAAACATGTGAACAACAAAAGGAGCACTGGAAGTAACGTTGTTCTGCTACTTAATGCTATTCACAAGTTGGGACAGACAAAATTGAGACTTTTATGCCCTCTTTGCCTCTGTCTTCAATACTAGTGATGTGCACTACAGGTCCTACGAGGTGGAGGATTGTGACTGCTCTAACAGTAAACTCCCAGCCAACCCAGATTTGTGCAAGATTTTCTGCTGGATACATACAGGTTTTTTGGGCCTGGAAGAATTGATCTCAGAGAGCTGGCTGATGTCACCTTTGCTCTTCTAGCTATTTTTAAATGGTGTGGGAAATATGGAGAGGTCCCAGTAGATTGGAAGCTGGCAAATGTTATGAAAATACCAGTTTTGAAGAAGAATAAGGAGAACTCTACAATTGCAGGCCTGTCAGTCTCACTTCAATGCTTGGCAAAATTATGGAGATTATTCTGGGAGTTACTGAAAAACACCTGAAAGACAATTGGAGAGTTACAGAATGGCTTGGATTGAAAGCCGCCTTAAATATCATCTACTTCCAACCCCTCTGGCATGAAATGGGTCATTCATTGCATACACAGCTTCTTTGTGTAACCCGTGTCAGTGCCTCACCATCTTCTCAGTAAAAGTTTTCCTTACAACATCTACCCTGAATCTCCCCTTTTAGTTAAGAACCATTCCTCCCTTGCCCTATCTCTGTCAGATCTTATAAAAAGTCAGTCTCTTTCCTTTTCATAAGGTGCCTTTACGTGTTAGAAGGCCTCAGTGAGGTCTCCCCTGTGCTTGTCTCTTCTCCCTGAGCCTAGCTCCCTCAGCCTTTATCTTTTTAAGAGAGATGCTGCAGCCTCCGATCATCTAAATGATTCCAGCCTCCTCTGGATCCACTCCAACAGCTCTGTATCCTTCCTTTACTGGGTGAAGCAGACCTGGACACAGTACACTGCATGAGGCCTCAGAAAGGCAGAGCAGAAGGGGAAGGTCACTGCCCTCACTCTGCTGGCATCCCCTCTTTTGATGCACCAGAAGATACAGTTGGTCTTCCAGGTTGCAAATGCACACTGCTGGCTTACTACCAGGTTTTCATACACCAGGACTCCAAAATCTTTCTCAGCAGAGCAGCTCTCAATAAGTTCTTCTCCCAATCTGTTCTATTGTCTGGGATTGCCCTAATGATGACAGTGACATTGCTGTCATTGGTCCTAACCAACACGAGTTCGTGAGGGTTTTGTCTTTATTAATTAATGGTCTTAATTTTTTATGTTATGATGAGGTTGCCCATCAGGTTGATCTAAGGAATCCAGTAGATGTGAACTTCTTGGATTTCAGGAAAGCTTTCTGTACTGTCTCTATTAGTATCCTCCTAGAGAAAATGTTGAGTACACATCTAGACAAAAACATTGTGTTTATGAGTGAACAATTGGCCTGCAGGTTGGGCTTGAAGCATTACTGGGCTCAAAGCATTATGAGGTCACATTATGAGGCTGATGGCCAGTCATTAATAGTGCTCCCGAGGCTCTTTTTGAGGGCCAGTTTTCTTCAATGTTTTTCTGTTTTTTGAACACAAGTCTCAAATGTATACCAAGTAATTTTGTGGACAATGCTAAATTGAGAGTTGACTCCCTTAAGGGTAGAGAGCCCTTGCCGAGGAATTTTGACATATTTCAGGACTAGACAATCACCAAGCATATGAAATTAAGAAAGAGCTAGTGTTCAATTCTGCCAGGTCACAGCAACCTTGGATATAGACTGAGAGGCCAGGGGCTGGAAGGCAAGCCCATGGAAAGGGATTTGGGGGTTCTGGTTGACAACAAGATGAGTATGAGTCAGCAGTGTGCTCTGGCAGCATAAGGGCCAGCTGTACTCTGGGAGTGGGTCAGACCCAGCACTGTCAGCTGGTGAGGAGAAAGGGTTGTCTCACTCTACTCTGCTCTGCACTCTTCACGCTGAGCACTGTGTGCAGTTCTGGACACCACTATGCGAGAAGGACATAAAACTATTAGAGAGCTTCCTCAGGAGGGAAACAAACATGGTGAATGGTCTATGAGGGCAAGACATGCAAGGAGTGGCTGAGGTCCCTGGGTTTGTTCAGCTCAAAGCAGAAGGAGGCTGCAGCTCCTCTAAAGGGAGCAGAAGGGCAGCGCTGAGTTCTGTTCTCTGGTCACAGTGACAGGGACCAAGGGCATGGAATGGAGCTGTCAAGGAGGGTCAGGGAGCGTTAGGAAAAGGTTCTTCACCAGGTGGGCATGGAACATGGGTGGTCCTGAGTGGAGCCAGGAGTTGGAGTCAGTGTGCCTTGTGGGTCCCTCAACTTGATATATTTTATGATTCTGTGAAAATACTGTAGGTGAAAAATTGCTTATTAATAAAACAGCCTGGCTGAGGCATGCGCCTTTGGATAGAACACCTACAAAGATATTGCACTTAAGAAATACAATTTGAAAAGTATTTACTTTTTTTTTTTTTTTCAAATAAAAATTTAGAGTCTGAAATGATGTTTACATGAAGTGTTAGTGTTGTAAATTGTGTTAACTTGTTTCAAAGAAGTCTTCTGAAATCCTTGAAGGCAAATGCCTGGATGTGGTTGCCTTGTAAAATAGAAACAACAAATTGCAGGTAATGAAACATCACTTGTATTTGTACCGGGTTTTTCTGGTAGTATTCTTGACCTGCCACTTTTCACAGGTGGGCTCATGTAATGTGTGCAATTGCCGTTCCAGAAGTCAGATTTGGTAATGTCACAGAACGTACACCGATAGACACTAGCAGAATACCTTTACAAAGATTAAAATTGGTGAGTACTATATTCATATATACTTTATGTATTCTTTGCTATTAAGATATTCCAATATTTTGAAGTGCATTCAAAATCTGAATTACTGTTGCCAGTTACAGGAATTAAACTATGTTTAAGGTTAGAAGTACGTAACTGAGGCGTTACTGATATCCACCTATTAGTTTTTACAAATAATGGCAATTCATTAACACCATTTACAATCTCTGGTATTTGTTTAAAAAAGTTTGAATCTGTCCTTCCCCAGACGAACAACAGAAAACTTGACCAGTATCAACCGTGAAAGTTCAGCGTCTGGATTTCTGCTGACAACGAAAGCACTGAAACCTAGACTATGAATATCACATAGTACATATTTGTGAGATCTTTTTATTATGTATTTTTGCCTCAAGGAACAATTTGTTGAGGTAAAAAGATGTATGATCTGGTTGTCATGCAGTATCTCTACCATCTGGATATTGAGAAGCATGCATAAAACAGATCATGCATTATGTTGAATTGAAAAAAACAAAACTCTTTCCTAAGGAATTCTGAAAGCTGTTGTAAAAAAAAGAAAAAAAGTATATCCACTGTTAACATTCTAGAAGGTTGACAAAACTGGGAGACATATTCAAGAGCAATTTAGGATAATGTTCCTTGCTATGTTACAAAGAAAATTAATAAATTTGACAGAGTTTGCATCTATGATATCATCTTCTGCAAGAAGATGACTGGTGGACCACTAGAATGATGTAGGGAAATGATGTCATCAAATTTTTGCATCTGCTTTGTGCTTTTTCAGAAATATTTCTTGATTTATCTGACCATAAACTAATTTCTTGCACAGTTTACATAATATTCCTGAATGCTATTTTAGGATTTGTTTAGTTTAATATCCTCTGTGTAACAGAGGAATGGAGTGAGTGTTCTTTCATCATCCTTCCCTTTAATTTTGTTTCTCATAACTTCAAAATCTTGGATTTTTTAGTTTTTTAATAACATGAATGCAAATCCTCTTTTCTCTGTGACAGAAGGTATCTCAGGATCTTGTTTGAACAGGCAGTGTCTTCTTAAATTGACAGTCCCAGATCTTTCCTAATCTGAAAATATAACCAGTAGAAGCACTGAAAATTAATTCAAAGTTTTTATATGTTTTGAGGATCATAAACAGTCACAGACAATTGTCTGTTTGGAAGTGATTGATCCGGAGGTTGAAATCACAAAAATGTGTAGTTTACCCGGTACTGAAATTCATCCTTTTATGAGATGTCCATTCCTTGAACTGTATAAGAGTGATAGATGCATTCTGGAGAAGGCTTGAATTAACTTTAGGTTATTTAATGTAAAGGTATGGAATCAAAATGCACAAAATTTGTGAAGTGTGCAATATACAATTTCTAGGTCATTTCTGCTGAGTACAAGGCAATTATGTTAATCAGTTGTTTATAACTGGCAACTTTGTTTTTCCTGCAGTTGATAGAAAATTGGTTGCAGTCTTTTTTTTTTTTTAAATTCTTGAAGCCTCTTTCAGAATAAAATGACATTGAGATGCTACATATTGTCTTTAGCTACACGTACCCTTTCCATCTCAAGCAAGTGCCTGATTATTTAGAAATACAGTGCTTGCTTTTAAGCAAGAGTTTATGTATTTGATTGAAATTAATATTCTGATGAAGGAACTCAGTTGGATACAGAAAAATCAGTGGTGGGGTGCTTTATAATAGCCATCAATGTATTACTGCCCCAGGTAGTGAGTGGATGGCCTTACTGTGAGGGAAGGAAGCACTGTAATCTTGGATTGAGTCATTAAACCTTACTTTTCCAAGACATCATTTCAGACATTGAATTTATAATGAAATAGCTAGGCCTGTTCTAATTTAAGGGAAGTATGCAGTTTGACAATCTCTCAAAGGCCCTGTCGTGATTTAATGTCAATATATCTATAAATTGTTGTTCCTTGGTTAAAAATCTGCTCTGAAAAACACCAGTAGTCTAAGTCAGTTTCTATGTTACAGTGAATTTCATGAGTAACACTGCAGTTTTTGTTTTTTTTTTTTTAAATAATATATCTTTGGTGGAATTGCATGGCTATTTAATATTTTCTCAAAATATTTTAAAGCCCCTTGTATTAGATATTTTTTGTAAATTATTTTATTTCCTTAAACACAGGGTTCATGTTTCTCTGCTACTGTCAGTAACACTGAATAAGTCAAATGTCATCATTGTGTTAGTCTTCTTAACTGTTGATTCTGCAGAATAACATTCATGCTCTCATGCCCACTGACTTCAGGCCTTGGAGAACCCTAAGCATGGCGTTATAGTAGCTTTCAGAATCTGTAAGCAATTGATTCAGGACAGTTTTTCCTTTTAAAATTGCAAGTCTTGCCAGTAACACTCTTCAGCAGCCAATTCCTCTTCCATTTCTGTCCAGTTTTTTAGGTTACGGATATGTTTTTTCATCATTCTTCACCATTCAGCGCTATTGTTTTGTACATCTTTTGCTCATATTGAGTGCTTATAAGTAATACATGTTTTAAAAACTACATTTTGGGGACTGTCTTTAAAATCTTATTCATATTAAGGCCTGTGATAGCTAATATTTACAGATGGTCCTATTATGTTTAGTTGCTGCCTTATATGTTTTGTTGATTTTTAGTATCCACAGAAAGCAACAGAAAACAAATACAGAAGGATATAGTACAATCTAGGGTGCAGCCAAACACGATGTAGATGTTACAATGTGAGAATAGTTCTAATTGTTTTAAGTGTTGTAAATATTTATCTGTCTGCTTCTTTCTGTATCCTTTCCTCCATTCCTTCATTACTTTCCCTTTTCTCTCTTTCCTATCTCTCACTTTCTCTGAAATAAAAAGAAAAGCAATAAGCAGAGCATCTATTGTTTTCAGAAATCTGTAGAGACTGGGCTGACATTTTCTTTAATGTAGCATCTACTAAAGAAAATAAAAGGAAATAAAAGTCAGTGTTTGCTTTTTGATAAATTAAAGAACATCTGTGCAAATGGAAACATATTGGTAGGTTATTTTTACTGCCTAGTTGATATGTTTACTGATTGCTGTTAAATAATTTTAATTCACTAGACATTTTTGGGTTGAAATCAATGCGTTTTCTGTAAATCTTTCTATTATTAAATATCATATATTTCCTTCAGAGTAAATTCCGTATTTGTGTTTTGCATACAGTAGTTTGCTACTGCATACAGTAGTAGCTACAAAGTTGTTTTATACAATAATTTAATGTTTGCAAATTTTTGATTTTATAGAATGCCAAAATGTTTTTATATTTGCCCGTTTTTTTAGTGAGTTACATATCATGTTCTGTCATTGTTAAAAATTCATGACACACTGAAGTGTTTATGAAATGCTGAACCCCTTGAAAATGATTCTTTTCTCAATGAAAATAGTCTGAATCAATACTGATAAAAGATTTTGTTGTTGTGTTTTTTAATAAGAAACAAAAAATGGTGTGCTGAGATAAAACAGGTTGTATCACGCCTTGTCGTTTTGAGCTGTATTTCCATGATGTTGGTGTTATCTAAGTAAGTTTAAAGTGGAAGCAAAGCCTTCCACTCACCTTCAGTGTAGAGAGAAACCCACGAGGCTGCTGTCTTCTCTTTATTTTCCTCTAGCAGTAACTTTTCTCTGTTTTTGAAACTTTGTGAATGGGAAAACGTGATTGTCCTGATGTCTTTTGACAGTCAGCCTGGGTATTCAGTCTGGATGGTCATATCTGACAGGCACTTTGAGTTTACATTAACTGTGTAAAATTAAAATCTGTGATTATTTAACTAGAAAGCAAGTATTTTGGATTTAAAATTCAGAGTCTTACACTCAAGTTCTAAGGTGAAATGGCTGGAAGACATACCTCACCACAACATAAATTTTAAAACATCGTACGGAAACTGCTCTGCAAACACTTTGAATCAAAGAATCATGTAGGTTGGAAAAGACCTTCAAGAACATCAGGTTCTGCTGTCAGTGTGTCCTACCAGGTCCCTAGCACTAACCCATCTCCCTTAGTGACATGTCTGCATGTGTCTTAAATATCTGCAGGTATGGCAGCTCCACTGCTTCCCAGGGCAGTCTGTTGTGATGCTTGACTGCTCTCTCTGTGAAGAGACTCCCATCTAAATCCTTTTTGGCCTGATTTGAGACCATTTCCTCATGTCCTGTCACTTCTCAACTGCGAAAACAGACACCTTCCTTGCTGCTACATTCTTTCAGGTAGTTGCAGAGACCTTCAGAAATTCCCTCTGCTGCTTCTCATAACTTTTGTTTTCTAGTACTTTTTCCGGACTTTTTAAGTCTTCTCTGCACAAGCTAGAGCAACTCAGTAGCCTTCTTGTAGCGAAGGACCGCAAACTGAACACAGTGTTCAAGCTGTAGTCTCACCTGTGCCAATTACAGAGGGACGATAATCTCTCCAGTCTTGCTGATCATGCTATTCCTTATGCAGGCCACGATGCTTTGGCCTTCTTAGTCATCTGGACACACTGCTGGCTCCTGTTCAAGAGGTTGCCAATCAACATCTCCAGGTCCTTTTCTGCTGGGCAGATTTCCAGCCACTCTTACCCCAGCCTGTAACATTTATGGTGTTATTGTGACTCAGGTGCAGGACCCAGCACTTGGCCTTATGTGTCTGGACTCAGCCCATTGATTCAGCCTACTCAGATTCTTGTGCAGTGCTTTCCTGTTCTCAAACAGATCAACAGTTCTATCTAGCTTGGTATTATTTGTGAGCTTTCTGAGGGTGTACTCAATCCACACTGTCCAGATCACTGATAAAAATGGTAACCAAAACTGGCCCTGGTACCGAGCTCCTGGAAACATCACTGGTGTCAGCTGCTAGCTGGTTTGAGCTTCCTTCACAATGGCTCTTAGAGCCAGTCCACCCAGCTAGTTCTTCACCCAGCAAACTATACACATCCAAGCCATGAGTAGCCAATTTCTCCAGAAGAATGCTATGGGAAACAGTGTCAAAAACTTTATTAAAATCCACGTATA